TTTAAAAACAATAACTTGTCCACAATCTACAGTTATCATGCTCTGTGGGTAGCTTACACATGGGACAAGGAAAAACTTTATTAATTTTGGGATTTAAATATCAATGGTCAGGATACTGTAACTGAAATAAGCAAAATGGTTTCCACATAATAACTACAAAACTGAGGATACATTGCACATGGCATAAGGAGGAACCCAGTGCTGGAATCAGAATGTCAATGGTCAATGTCACTTATCAAAAGTAAGAAAAAATGGTTTCCACAAGTACTTGAGTTTATCATCTGTTTTCAAACATTGTGGATGGCTTGCATTTGGAATTAAACAGAGCCCTAACATTTTCAGGGTCAACATGTCAAAATTGAAGGTCACTGCCTGAAAGAAAATGGTTTCTGCACAAACAATTTATTTACATACAGTATTAAAAGCAGTGGGGTTATAATGTACAATTTAGAATACTCTTGTTTACCACTCTAGATAATTTTGTTTTATGAGATTTTGATCAAACTTGGTAAATAGGCTTATATCATGAAGATCTTGGAGTTGATTTTCAGTGAAATCCATGCATATTAATGATCTTCAGAGTTTTTAACCAATCAGGAGACTGTATTTGGTTATAGGATTTTGAATAAACTTGTTAAATAGTCTTATATCATCAATATCTTGGTCAAGTTTGGTTATGAGCAATATTTTTACTTTTATTGAATTGGCCAACTGTTACATTCTGTAAGCCAGGTTAGCAATATGCGAAAAAGAACTGAGAGTTATGACTGTTTCAGGAAAATATATTTTTTGTGAATAACTGTCTTTTTACTGTTGTCTTGAAGACATGAATTCCAAGTTTAGAAAGATCTATCAATAAAAACATGAAAAAAAATTTTTTATTTTGGTTACAAGACTTCACAAAAATTAAAAGGTTCTCGAGAAATTATTAATTCAATAGATTTAACCATGAACCATTCATACTCCAGTAGATAAAACAATATATTCACATGGCAGCAATAATCCAAGTTTCACAGTCAGTCATATTATATGGTCAAAGACTACTGTTTTTGGTTTACGTATTATATATTGTACACCCTATCACTGTTTATATTCAATGGTTTTATATAGCATTCTCTGCTGAGAAAGCAGATTTTAAGTAGCTTATGTTTCTTCTTCCAATATGTTCCCAATCACATCACCTTGAGAATATTAGCCTGTTATCTCACAAATCCAGCCCTAGAATCATCTTTTCTATCTCAAATAGACAAAGTGCAAAAACACTTGCCCATGACCTGACACTCATCTTTTCTATCTCCATTAGACAAAGTGCAATAACTCTTGCCCATGACCTCCCCTTGCTACCACCACTTATTAGCTGAGTGATACACTAATGAGGATGCTCACATGGCAGCGTGGTTGGTTGGTTGAAGTAATGAGATTGGGCAAGTTTTCTCAAAGAAATGTAATTTATTTGAAAATTTGCTTTCTCCTTCAAATGTGTTGCCTAGTCAAATTATGTTAGAATAGGTAATAGGAGAAGGGAATGCTGAGCATCTGACCTTGACCTAGGGTATCCTTCTAGATATGATGCTTGATTCCCCATGCAAATGATAACCAGTTCTCCTAATTACTAGGGTCACATATGGGTAAGGAGATGATTACTGAAATTTTTTTACCTATAAAATTTCACTGCTGAATCCACTCAAACAGATAGACTGTGTTAATTGTTTGCATTGGCTCTGTTGGTTATCTGGGATGCTGCCACCAGAGCAAACCTACCTGATTCAAGGTGTGTATCTGTAAAGCTAAATCTTTGGAATAAAAACTCTGGAAGGTCAACTCTGCATGCCAGCCAACAGCTTCTACTATAACTGACAAAAATGTTATGTTAGAATGTGAGGCTCACAGAGATAACACTAATGTCACAAACAGTAATCTTCATGAGATGACTTGGATCTTGTGAGACCTGAGTATGTTCAGTGTATAACCTATTTCAGCCACAAAAAATTGGCATGAGCTGTACCTCTGTGCATTTCATGCAGTGCTGGAGTGCATGAATAGGATCTTGCAGCGCTGCTGTTCTTGACCCATCAATGGAAGAGAGCAAGCAAATGAATCTTTGATTACCAACAGATGGTAATTTATTTTGGGGTACAAAGTCTGGTTGTGTCAAGAGGACCATCAAACTATCCAATCTGAACTGACAGAAGGGCATGTAGCTCATTCACCCAGCTTGCTGTAGTTAAAGCTATCAAGAAATATGTTTTGTATTATAGTAATTTAGAGAAGAGTAGGTTAAAAGCTTAAAATGAGCCATGCAGCTATGTTAAAACCAAGGACACATAACATTTTGGTTAATAAAGTGAAGAATTTTGGCTGATCAAATTTGCTACTATGATAGCGAAATGTGTTTGATATCAGACTTTGATAGAAATTGGGTCCAACTGTTTCTTCTTTTTGAAGAGCCAGAGAAAGAGAGTCAGCCAGCTGAGGGATTAAGGCAATGAGAGGGTTATTGATCAGGCATCAGTCACTGACAACATCCACTTTTCCTTGTAAACCTTCAGAGTGGATGGCCTTCTTGCTCTTGATGCTCTCCACAATTAAAGGTTTAGAATGTTTGTCTCTCAAGAGTGAAGCATACAAAAATGACAGACCAGCAGGCATGGAACACCCATGACCATGACTGCTTTAGAAGATTTGAGGTTGGCCAGAATCTTTCTGGGCAGATCCATCACTAGAAAGAATAGACTGGCAACCCAAGACTTGTCCCATCTGAGAGGGGCTACCAAAATCATCTCACATTTCTGACCCTATAACTTCCAGATTATTTCTGGTACTAAGTGTTACAAGTACAGGCTCTTAAAATAAGTTGTTCTTGTTGTGGGGCTTAGCGCCATTTTTTAGCACACGATAGGCTATACATGGCGGCCAGTAATAATGGTGGAGGAAGAAACCAGGAAATCCCTGGAAAGAACCACTGACCTACGAGAAGCTACTAGTAAGCTTTATCATATATCCACATTCGCTGAATCCTAGACTCGCGCAGACAGAGGTGAGATGGCAGAGATCCGTAACATAAAATAAGTAACATAAAAGAGTGAAGACGACAAACTTTGTAAAATTTAACAAATAAATATTTCCCTAGAATACAAAGTGAAAATTTAAGAAAAAAGAACTTATGGTTTTACAAATCAAATCCAAAAATAATATAAGAAAAAATTATTAGTCCTAGTATTAAAAAGTCCTGAGTGAATCTGAGTGCAAGTCCCAATGCAATCCAAAATGGATGATGATGATGCCTGTTGTATCCTTCAAACTGTAGATGTGTCAACAGTTTCTGGTTGAATCAACGAAAATATTATTCCAGTTTTGAATTCCATATACATAAATTACAGTGAATGTCTTTTCCAAGAATTTCGTTGGCGCACTTTTTCATTTCCTTTGAAAAGAATCACTTAAAATTCAATAAAATAAAATTTCAACTTATAAAGGTCACAATATAACGTGTCAATTGTTTGGAGCCCGACAGAAAAACCTGTATAAAAAAAACAACAGTTATATGCTAATTAAGCTGCAAAACTGATTCCTGGATGAGGGTCAAAAATTCATTGTTCTGGAAAGAATAGAAGTTTGTAACAAGAGATACATGCCACCCATCACGTAATCCAGGTTTGACCGTGATTCAACTTAACAATTCTTACTATGTGAAATATAAAAAAATATAATATAAAAAGTTGTTTACCAAAACATTCACTGATTCTGAAACAATTCAGCAACTAGATACAGTTTCTATTATTGGCTATTTATCAAAAAAAAAAAAACAATCTGGTCAAACAGAACTTAACTGAATTTCTGGACGTTGTCAAATCCAGTAAACAAAGTTACATTACAATAACATGTAATGGAATTTAAAAAATTAGAACAAAAAGCAATTGAATTTACATAAAACAAGATTATGGGAAGGTAGGTAAATGTCCTGAACTCCACCCATGTGATTGACAGAGCATCCATGGCCCAAGGTTCTGGGTCTGGAACTGGAGATAAGGGTGGGCAACTTGTGATACCACCTTGCGACAAAATGATTGATCATTGGATGCCCCCAGAGTGTACAGATCTGAGTAAAGACCAATTGATGGATCGACCACTTTGAACACTAAAATAGCTTGGATTGTTGGAGGTAAAATGTATGATATCAGTACAATGAAGCTTAAAACTGGAAACACCTGCTGATGGCAAGTGGAGGTCATGGACAAATGATATTGCCCTTAGTCTATTCGAGATTGACAAAGACAATTTTCGTTTTCTAGTAGAGCAGGATTAGCAAGGTAACAGGCCAATATTCCTAAAGTAATGCAATTAGGGAACATATCTGAAGGAGAAACTCCAGTACACAAAGTCTTAATGATATTCAGGGGAAAGTAAATGTGCTTCATATATATGACCAATTATTACTGCTGTTCAGTCCAAATGATTGTCATTGTGATAGTTTATGATGTGCACAGTGGAAAAATATTATATCAAAGTTGTCCTAAAAGAGTTCCTAACCAGGATTATTAAATGTATGAATTACTGTTAAAGTTTAAGTTACATGGTGTTCAGTTATTGTTCAATACTATATGAGTTTCAATAGCCAATTGTAGATCTTGTTAAAGTGGTTTTTAAAAAAATATGTAAATACATGTAATTACAGTTGCTGTGGTCTCTACCAAATTCTTGTTGTAACCTTTGACCTTTTTATCAGCCCATTGCTAAGGACATTATAATGGTTACAAAGTGTAGCATGAAATAAAAGATACAACCACTTCCTAAAGCTTTAATTAGCCAGAAGAATATGCCATGTAAGCATGTAAATCTGGTAAAGAATCTGATGCTAATCCAAGATATATTTACTGTTTAAAATTTTGACTATCATCATTTGTTAACTTGTTTTTTTAAAAATAATAATTAAGCATACTAATGTTTCTTGCTCTGCAATAATGCAATCATCACAAATAAAATTTCAAAGCACGATTTCTGGTTCTGTTGGTCTAAGTGGTTGGATAATCTGCCTCAGATGCAGAAGGTCATGGGTTTGAACCCCTGCATAGCCAAAGTCTTGTAAAAATGGTAATAGCAGCTGCCTCATTTGGTGCTCAGCATTAAGAGGTTAGTGTTAGCACTAGCTGGCCTGGTGTCCTGATAATGTGATTGGGTTGGACATGATGCCACATGTCTACGGCATGATACCCCAGCATCAGACATCACTATAACGTGAAACAATGTAGATGTAGCGATATGACTAAAATTGTTGAAGCTACGCTAAATATTTTAAAAAACAACACAAAACATTGATTTTTGGTTTATGTACTTTTGAAGCATAACTGCAAGTAATTTTATTGACTCCCAATGCCTGATATATGTATTTTATTATCTGTAAAAATATCAGACAGCTAGGAACATATCCAGCAAATATGAATGTTTTAGAAAATGTAGTATTTCCTAAGCGAGTGTTGGTGTATTGGTAAAAAATTGGAAAGCTGGATAATGGGATCTTGAAGAAAAATGATCAAAACTGTGCTTCTTTGGGCATATTTTCTATGGAATTATTATTATGGATGCCAATTTTCTTGTATATCTTTATGTACCAAAAAAGGATTCTCTGCCTACTAAAATAAATATTAAAACTGAAATAACTGTTTTCAATATTTTCCATTTAATATACATGAAGCTAGTATTTGCAAAAATGAAGCCATTATTTTTGTAGCCAACCCTTCACCCTTTTCGAACTTGTACATGTGCAATATTCTTCAGTTAACTGAATTTGCCAAATATTGCAAGATATGGTACATATCATGATGGCACTTTGTGGATACTAGCTTGTCTTGTTTTACCAGGGTTTCAATTTGTGTATGGTATGTGTCTGTTTTCATGCATATATATATATATATATAGACACTCAACTCCATGCTTTTATGTCATTTACAAATAATAAGCAAGTAAAGTTTGAATCATGATTTATTCAAACTTCAGATTTTTACAAAAGTTGAATCTGATTCTTACAATGTTCACATTAAGGAATAATACATAGCCAATAACAAATAAAATTTTTAAAAAAGCACTTTTGTCACAAATAGTAATGTAATCATCACAATATAAAAAACCTGGTTCCAACTCCCAAAACTTACTGCTGACATGCAGCATTATTGAAAATCACAATACTGCTGTGTGCAAAAGGAAATAAAATTTGACACATACCTGAACTTTGTCTAGAATAACATCAAATTCCTTAATTTCACATACAAAATAGGATAAAACTTGAAACTTAAGTAAATCGAAAACATTTCTGATTTTCCATATTTTGTATGACTAACAATGACTACATGAACAAAATTCCTTGGAATAACTAATAACTAAAGTTCACACAATAAATTGTAACCGTAAATTTAAATTATAGATAGCAAAAAACTGTCTCTAAAAAGATGACAAAATTCTGTCATAAACAAGTATCTTCTGCATTACTTAAAAAACCTCATCAGTGCCTTAACTTAACTGATTTGACTCGTCCTTAACAAGTATTATTACCCCTCTCCCACCATTCTTTAAACTGAGCTTGACCTTAAGTAGGTAAGCACAGAAATGCAAATTATATTGATACAAGATTAAGTACACTTGTAGTCTATGGCCATTTCTAATTAAAGAACCATCTCCCATGTCTGACTGTAAATCATATTCAATATATAGACAAAGACATAACTAGTAGTATAAGTGTATCTTGGGATAACGCTGAATTATGTGCCAGATATATGTTGCACTGACCTATCTCACTGGGACAATTATGTACTGCCTAAAAATCTGGTCTCAGCTCCAATTCCATCTCCAAATGATCAATGGCTGCCAAAGTTGTAATGTGGGTACATCTTAAGATGTTTTGGCATCAAAAACAAGGTTGTTGTAACCAAAATTCTAGTATTATTCAACACTGCTTACAAATAATAGTCCATGGCACAGAAGTGTGGGTGTCTTGTGACCTACAGCTGAGTAACTCAAGAGTTTGAAACATTTGTGAAATAGATAAAATAACTATGTATTTGGATCTTCTTTCATATACACTTTTGTCAGCCCTTGTTTTGCAAAGATGAATAGGACAGCATCTACCATATCTATTCATTTATAAGATGAAGCAAACTACAAACAATGATGATTCAGAAATGCTGTGACTCAAGGTGCCTACATATCAGGGTCTATGTTTCTTATTCTACTGATTACTTCCATCAAACTGCACAGACTAGACCCAGATCTGCCAGCACATCAATGAACAGCAGATCACGGTTTGCAGTTAGACTTGACTTATAATTGAGTATATAGGGTATATAGAAATTATTACCTGCAATGAAGGCTGCAGGCAGCAATCTAGAATTGTATTTACAAAGTTCAACTTTTGTACATGCAATCTATAAAATTGTGTTGTCAATAACATGTTTATGTGCATGTGTGTAAAAACAATATCTACTATGAATAACATTGAAAACAATTATGCAACTTTTGTATACAAATAAGCCGGTATGCTGTTAACTAATTTTTTTTAAATACCAGAAAGGTGCAGCAAATTAAAAAAAATATACAAGTATCATGTGCGCAATCCATTTTGTGTGGAAATTTGGAAAGTGATGGTGCAATTTCAAGGACACAAGTTTATGGCAAAGAGGACAGTAACACTGCTGGTGCAAAGATCCTTCAAGTGACACCAAATCTGACAAGGTTTCACCTGTGGGGACAAAGCTGTCAACTACTTGATATTATATGCCATCGAGAAATCATTAGTTGAGAGCAATTAAAATTATTTTGTCCCATTTACTTGTCCACTCAGATTCACTGGAATAATGCCCCTTCTAATGCAAAATATTACTATGAAAGGTAATCAGAAAAGAAGACAATGTAAAAGTCCTTTATTGCCTACACCAACACACACAAAACATGCAATTATGTAGGATACAGAATAATATTTATGATACTTGTTTCTCAATTGTAAATTTTCATACAGCTTAGAATAAAATGCTGATGACAGGACAACATGGAAAGGCCATAAGTAACTTGTAATACGGTTGCATCAATGAATATTTGCAAACATAATACCTATAGCATAACTGCAAATTAAAATTTGAAAAATTTTAGTTGGAAATCTATTTACATATCTAATTTGACATGTGTATAATCTTTCCAAAATTTGGTCTCATCACATGAAAAATTTCTTGCTTGTGAAAATTCTTGAACTATGATCTTTATAAACAAAATAAAATAAAATGAAAGCAAAACAAAATCCAGAACATCTATATGAAAAAAAAAAAAAACATTTCCCCAAGTTGTGCATTTCCATGAGGTGACAACTTCCACAAAACAGGCACTTTACTTAATAATATTTAACTTGGAGTATTTTCAAGTTCAATATGATTTTAAAGAACTAATTGTTAACTGATGAAACATTGCCAATTTACATCACAAATATCAAAGAACTAAGAATACTGATGGCTCTGAGTATATTTTAATGATAAAAAGTAAATAAATTTATACAGTAAAACACAACATGAGAGAAATTGCTATTTATTGTCCTTTGTTATCTAAATCATTTTCATCATTGTCTAAATTTCTTCGTGTCAATAGAGAATTATATTACATTTTGGAGTGCTATTTATAAAATTATTAAGATTTCTATTGTTAAAAATATAACCAACGCCGGAATAATATTCCAGGGATATCACCTATCAAATCTAATCATTTACCATTTATAAGCCAAAAGTGAATAATGATTGCATGCTTTCACTACATACTGTCTGGTTAAATACCTAATATTGTTATATATTTTCTTTATGTCACTAAGAGTATCAATTTCTAAATTTAAGTTCCAAATTTAAAAATAAATTAAGTTCAACATACATATTTCTGTGCAATTATTGGGTTTTGTTAAAATACAGAGAATTTAGAAATCTCAACAAATGTACAAAAAAATGTGTACATTTAGGTTTATATTATGACAGGAATGTTTATCTCAGTTATTATTACCAAAACATTTCTGATCAATAAAGACAACTGCACACAGACTTCTGGTGATGTTCATCGACTTCAGAAGGTGAGTGAGAGACAAGCAATAATAAATGTATGTGTGTGCTAAGAAAATCTGTATATTATAAGTCAAACTATAATATGAGTCTCTTAATATTATTACACTATCATCATGAAAATTTTTAAATAAAGTTTTCAAGAAAAAAAGCTATGCTACCTAAAAACAACAATGGTGGGTGAGGGTCCATTTTAGCATATTAGTTTAAATTACAAACACCATGATTACAAGAGAAACAGTTTAAAATAATGGACTCTACTTGGGATACAAGAGAAACAGTCAAAATTCTCCAAAGAACAAACAGTTTTGATCTTTTATTGTTTTTTTCACAATGAGTCATATTTTCAGTTTTTGCATTACTTTACCTTATCCAGCATATTATCAGCTTGGGTGTCACAATAATAATGTCACTGTCTGTTTTATGCATTATTTGAACAAGAAAACTTTTGAACAGATGTGCAAGATATTCATGTATCATCTTTCTAAGAACTTTTATTTTATCTTTCTCTAGCAATGGGTCAAAACTTCTATTTTCAACATTCTCATCTTTTTGTTGAGTTCTCCTATTGTAAGTTTAACAGCTGAATTACACTGATTATTTTTTTCAACAATATACATGCTTCTCTTCTTCCTAAAATGTTTTAAAGAAATCTCATTCGAATACAGATCTGAGGCATATATTCTTTAAAATTATCTTTAAATAAAACCATTGTGCAATGAGGTCATTTATAAGATTTATTCTTTCTACAAAGACTTTTTCCTCAAGATAGTATTCTGGAATTTAAGAACAAAAATAACCTGTGCACATTTTGTTAAATGTCTTGATAAATATCAAATGTCACCCAGTCTTCTCTGATGCTACATTGGGGATTCCATTATATTCATGAGATACAAGATTTTGAATTTGCTAAAAGAGGCCCTGAAGGACTGAAATCACTCACAATGTTGGTATCTTTTCAACAGTCAAATGCAAGAAAGGTTAGCCCAGAAATCTGG